CTTTGTCTTTTACAAATACTACTGGGGGCATATTTCCTAGGATTCGTTGACTCATCAGAAGATACCTGGCAAAAATGCAATATCAAGCAGTGTGAATACAAGTACAGCACCTTGAGGAAAGATAAAATGCTTTAATTCCATGAATACTACAAATTTAAGGATTTTGTTTGCAAAACTTGCAGTCTGACAAATAGCCATTCTAGTTAGCGCTAAGGCACTAACTTTCATCAGTGCAGAACCCCAAATCTGAATGTGTAACACACAAAAACTACTAGCTGCAGATGACAATGGATAGAAATAGCATTAGGTTTGCCTCCATTATGCACAGGCTAACCTGGGTCTTTCCCCTTCTGATCTCCACACAGAGTGTGGAAGGAGAGCACTGTGCTGGAGCAGGAATTACAAAACCTAGGGAAACAGGGGAAAAGGAAACAGACCTACAGCATGTTTCAATGATACCTTCCCCATGGGGTGAAATTCTGACCCTCCAACAGACAAGTTGGACTGCAGGGGGTAAGCCAAGCAAAGAGGGAGACAGAAGTCTCCATGGTACCCTGCAAACTCACCAGACCCTACAAAAAGTGAGTAATCATATCACAGTGTATGGCAGCATACTGACATTTGTTTTTTGTCATCAGCACTGTGAAGAGTTTCTGTAAGATCAGTCACCACTTCAAGATGTCCAAAGTGTCTCTAGAGACCAGATTTGCCCAGTGAACCTCTAATGTGATATTTGTAACTGCCAATCCTTTTGTGCAGCATCATATTCTGGCCCACTGTCACACACAGCATGTCGAGGCCACCATCACTGGGTACAGTGAAATGTTGCTTTAACCAAACTCTTCTTTTCTCCTGCTCAGCCCACTCCAAACCTTTGGAAGCACAGACATGTAAAGCTAGCTGTGCTTCAGTGGGAGAATTCACAGCTGGTCTGACACAGCTACCCATCCGAAACACTAGAGCATGCAAACAGGTCAGATTTAGACTGCCAGCAATATTGAGGAATGTTGCTAATACATGGCAGAGAACAGATGAAGCAGTCTAACTGTCCATCAGGCAGCAGTACCGGATACGTGGAGCACTTTTCCACAGCACCCCTTCAACATAATTATCACTGGCTGTAGTAGAAGCAGGATTCCAGTACACACGACATGCTGAAAAGTTGGATGCCAGGGACACCTGCAGAAAGACAAAGGTCTCTTTAAAACTTCACATCCATATATGCACATCCACACTTCACATACAGCCAACCTCTGATCTACAAATAAACATTCAGTGATCCAAACTAAATACCTACCTTTTTAAGAGAATCTTCTCTTCCATTCTTGCTCTTAAAAGCCAAAAATGCAGTGTCTTTACAGAGCTATGGTTTAACAGCAATTAAGATCTACGTTCAATATCCAAAGGAGCTTTTTTATTTCTGCAAGTTACCGTCCAGCCTCCCCATCAATTGAAATTACACAAAAATTGAAATTACAACCTGTCAGCTCCTGTGTGTTACTGGCAGGGTACAGTATTATAGTACAGTATTTAGGGTACAGTATTTAGTCAGAGTGAGGGTTCTATCATCACAACTAGCCCAGAACAGCAATTTATTCCATCCTGTTTTGGAATACAGTTATTGAAAAGGTATGTTGCTGCTAAGAAGGACTCGTGATAATACCTGGTCTGTTGTCATCAGAAGCTTGGCTCTGACACTGACAGAAAAAAGAATCATAGAATCATAGAATAGAATCATAGAATCACCAAGGTTGGAAAAGACCTTCAAGATCATCCAGTCCAAAAAAAGAATGGCCTCCATATCATTTGATGGAAACCTCTCGTGGGAACCTCTGGTGTTTGAACCTCCAGCTCACTGACATAATCTTCACTGCATTATGCATGCAATTTAAAAGGCTTGGTATGCCAAAGTCCTACAATTCTGTGATCCTGTGAGATGGGCTACAGTCCTCCTGAAGAACAAGCTTTGAAAAATTAATTCAAAACTGAAAGATCTGCACAACTACCATTCGTCACATCTAGCCACGGTGAGTTACCAAACGTTCTCACTGTGACAACACGCTCAGCAAACTTCTAATAACCGACCCAGCTCAACCCAATGAAGAAGTTGAGGAGGAAGGCAGCATGAACACCTCACTGCATGGCACAGTGCAGAGGTCACGTAGTCTAGAAACCAATTCCTGAAACATACAATCAGCAGGAGAAGTCAACTCAGAGTTCACTGCCAGGAAAGAAAACTGCATGGCAGTCAAGTCTGCAGTCAGTAAGTTAAGAGTGCTGCTCCTTCCTGGGACAGAATGGGCTGTCCATTCCCAAATTGAGTCTGAAACAAGCACACAAACAAACCGACCCAACACAAGCCATTCCTTGGTCATTATGTAATGTAATGTAATGTTATGGAGTGAATAAAAACTTGGGTGTTTCAAGCCTGAAGTGCGTAAACTTCAACTTTGATACTGGGAAAAAACAAGTCCTGCTGGATAGCAGAAAGCCTTCAAAAGGGTTTACTTTGATAAGAGAAGTAACAGTACCAGATCGGAATTAGCTGAGGAGTAAATCAAGTCTCAGCCACATCTTAGAGCAGCACCAACAATAAACACTGCGCCGTTTCAATAAAATTTCCACTATACTTAGAAAAAAGCTGCTTCTTCCCCTCCCTTTAGGGAAAAACAAGTTGTTTTGTCTACAGCAACGTCTCCTGAAAGCAGTGCAGCTTGCCTACAACAGACAGTATTTTTGTGCACCATCAAGGTTAGGAAAGCGATCCCCAAAGCCCCACAGAGCAAAATACTGCAGGACAGTACACTGTTCCATACTGACAGAAGATCACTTCACTCACGTAATTCTAATCCCTTGTCTGAAGACATTCATTCCAAACCCTTGAATTAGGAATTATTACTAATTAATTATGACAGAACTAGCTACAATCAGGTACAAATTTCCACTCTTTCTGAAACCTTGTTTGCCAGTGCCATTTTCTTAATGCTTCTATTTATTTTCTTTTTTAACCTAAGCTCACGTTGCATCTAACCCTTCTGCCAGCACAATGAAGCTGGTAAGGGACACAGTGGGGTATTAGCTCTTGCACAGCTGCACAAAGAAAAAAACTCTGGGAAAGACAAATTTACAGTGGTAAAATCAGGCTCCTCCTTCAAGAGCAATACAGATATTAAACATCCAACCAACAGGTAAAAAAATAAAAAAATCACACCAGCAACATCATTACTCAGCTGGCCTAAGTGGCATTAGCGTTATACTGGCAAAGGTCTACCGAACCAGCTGCAACAGTGGCACAGTTCTCCTAGCACAAGGAAAACCAAGGCTCATCTTGCTCTGCCGTGCCACATCAGCAGCAGTGCTGCAGAACTGATGCACGTTACAACACCCAAGGACCTCCTCTGGCAGACCTTTTACCAGCCTCAAATTCTAATCACAACACCTCAGGAAAAGCTGAAGCTTTTTTACTTGCCTTGCAGATTTCCAGCTTGAGATCATAAACCTCTTTATTAATCTCACAGCTACTCATCATCTCTGCCACAGCTTTATGAATAAGACCATTCAAGACTTTGCAGCGTATGGTATCTCCTCTTCTAGTTTTTGCCGGGTCAGCTTTCTTGGTTGGCTCATATATCTTTAAAGAAAACAACAAAGCAGTTAGTACAAACTCACCTCAGGAAGTTATAGACAGTTTTGTATACTTTCTAGTTTCAGAATGTGAGAGTTGCAGCTACCAACCTTTTTATTTCTTAGGCGTTTCAGTAAAGAATAGTTCTGCTCATAGTTTTGATCTTTATTTACTACAAAACACCTCTCTTTTTTTATTATTTTGTACCAACTTATGTAACTCAAATCAGCTCTCTGAAATATGGTGAGTAACAAGTGAAGAGCATCGCTTGCTTGAAAAGCAAACATGAAAGCTTGTTTTCTGTACAGGTCTCACATATTTATGTTTTGCAGTGCAGTTTATCCACACAGAGAACTATGAGCACCACTAGAACTAGAAGTAAAACAAATTCCAGCACGTAAAGAAAACAAAGGCAACAAGGTCAGAGGACTGTCATGCTGTGACTGGTAACACAACCTCCAGATTGCTAATCTGAGTTTGCCTTATTCTGACAAGAACTGAAAGCAGTTCCAATCACTGATTCTCGTAGCGTGAACACTATGTTCAATAGAGGAAAACCGGGCAGGAGAGAATCTCTGGGATCGTAAAATCCAGTTCCTTGCAAACACTACGGACACCTTTCCAAAGCGATGCACAGCGGAGGACGTTATCCTTCCTCCCGGCACGGACGATCGCATCCCGTGAGCATTTCCTTACCATTCCAGGTCCCAGCATAGGGCTGTCGTACCAGAACTTCTTCCTGCCGGACAAGAACAAGGCACTCGGCGTTACCTGCCAGCGGCTCGGAACCGACAGCTTCCCACCACTCCCGCACACGCCGACACCGCACCGCCGGCAGCGCTTCCCATCCGCGGGAGAAGCGGGGCGGGGAAGGGCGGAGGAAGAGCGTAAGGCCGCGCAGCTCGAAGACGCCCGGCACGGCAGCGTCCCGCAGCGCGGCCCGCCCGAGCCGGGAGCGGCGCGCAGAGGAAGCCCGCCCGCCTCTGGCCGGCCGCCGCGGCACCTACTTCTTTCTGCGGAGCATCTTCGCTAGCGGTCTCCCGAAACCGTGCAGCGCACGGCAACACGCCACGGCCGCGTTCCCCGCCGCCCGAGCCCCCCACATGCTCCCGGACGGCCTCGGCCCGCCGCTGTCCCCGACGCCCCCTGGCGGCGCGGCGGCCCCGGCCGGCGGAGCCTCCGACGGAAGCAGCGGTAAGGGCGGCCCGCAGGAGGCGGGGTCTTCCGGTGGCCGGAGGCTCGCGGCACGGGGAAGCTGCGTGCCGCGCTTGGCGTCGCGGCGCCCGGAGGAGGCGACAGCTGCGATGGCGCTGGCTTGAGACTCCGGGCTGTCTCAGTTCTCTGACCAGTGACGCAAATGACAAGACGCGGCAGCTTTTCCACACAGAGGCAGCTTTTGTATTTAACTAAAAGCATTTAAACCACAAGCGAGGAGCATCAGTTAAAGTTGCGCTTCCACATCGTATTTGTGTCGCGTACCCCCGTGAATTGCAGGGAAAGGTTCTCAGCCTCGTCTCCTCGCTCTCGGTAACCGCCAGCGGCGTTAAGGTGAAATGCAAGTCTTCACAGCAGTACTTCATTAGGGATGGGAAGACCCGCGAGCCCTGCCTCTATGCTTTCCGTCATGTTTTCCTTCATCAGGTGGCGCGTCTTGACAGTGGCGCTTCCGATGTGAGGAGTTATGAGAACATCCTTCATCTGTAACAGAGGGTGATCCCTGGGGACGAAAAGAAGAGCTGAGGTGAGAGTCACTCGCACAGCAGGTTTCTTCGGCGCCTGAAGGACCAGGGAAACGCTTAAAATAGTAATTACAAACAGAAATGACGCTATGACCCAAGCATACTCAAGGCTTGAAACTGAAGCCTGCCTTGCAGCTTTTTATGCAACAAATTCTCCTAGTGAGTCAGCGTGGATTTTGCTTTGCTGCTGCAGAGGGATTGGGGACATCACTTCAGCAGGGCTAGAAACAAAATCACACAGTTTCTACCAGCTTTATCCTAGTTTGCAGCACATGCACTCACTTCTATTTAACTTAAATATATATCCAACCTTGGCAAAGGTTCAGGATAGGTCACATCCAGAGCAGCTGCCTTAATAACTTTGTTTTGGAGAGCCTCCACCAAAGCATCCTGATCAACAACCAGACCTGGGTGACAGAAAAAAGAAAAAAAACAACTCTTATTTTCATATTGCCACACAACATCATCTTTTATGGCATGGCGATCAGGCAACTTGTAGGGCTAGTAATGTTCACAAAGCAGAAGCAACAGCAGGGGGTGGTGAACCAGGAAGAGGAAGCTTGGGTATGCACATGAGAGCTGGACAGTCAGGATTCAACTTTATTAGGGCTGAGTTACCCAGAACTACTTATACAAAATGAGATTAATAACTGCCAGGGAACCATAATGCAGTTTTATTTATCTTGCGCCTTACCTCTGCTGATATTAATGAGAATGGCTGTGGGTTTCATCAGCTGTAGCTCCCTCTTCCCAATCAGTTTGTGTGTCTGAGGTGTCAGTTTCACAGCCAGCATCACAAAATCTGCCTGCTGGAGCAAGTCATCTATCTTCTTACAGTAGGTAGCTCCAACAGCACGTTCTTCTTCCTTGTTTCTTGGGGGGGGCAGGGAAATAGGGAAGGGGGAGAGAACTCTAGTTGTAACCAAGAGTTTGCAGAAAAAGTTTAAATCAGAGTTAGAAAAACGACTTTTTTTTTTCCTTTGCTCTTTAGTGAGAAGCAGCTAGTTAATAATACGACTGAAACTAAATGAAGAGAAACACTAAGCTCTGCTTCTCATAGTATCAGCCCTACTATGCAAAAATGTGCACTACTACACCCACGGCAAGAAAGTGAGAAGTGCATATAAATGCACTGAGTAAATAAAAAGATAAATGCATCTGTGTCACAGCTTTTGGATGTAACAGAGATTCTTTTCCAACCCAAATGCAAAACTGACATTTGACACAAATTCCCTTCCTTGTGAATAGTAACTCAAAAATTGCTGAGGAAAGAGAGGAGACAGAGCAGAGGATAAATCCTCAAAAACAGATGACAACAGAAGCCTGCCTGCTCCGTGAATCAGTACTGTCTCACTGGAAGCATACACTGCAAGGTCTGCCAGCATGTTCAGCCCATCAGGACAGTCTGGGCTGTGCACTGTGCTGCTCACATTGGCTTCCCACAGATGTGAAAGATGCACAGCACGTGGGATGGGTCCCTGAGAGCCAGGTGCACAGAACGATACGTGTGCTTCTGTCTGAGGACAGTCAGAAGGGCTGCCGAGACTGACTCTCCTTAGGAGCAGCTAGTTCTAAAAGGAGGAGGTGTTTCTGCCTGCACTGCTGCTGTGTGTAAGTCACGGCAGTAACGTCACCTTAGACTGTTTTCTCCACTCCTCAATCTACTGTGCGGTCACCAACATTATAGGGAGGTTCACAGGGAGATCAGTGAGATTGATCAGTTCTATTCCTTTCTGACTTGGTTTTCATACAAGTCGTGAAACCAATGACAATCCTGAAGCCAGCTCACGTATTTTGCCACTTAAAGGGAGAGTTGTGAGAGAGCCACAATGGCAAAGCAGACTTTCTTTGCAGCTGTGACCAGTTTTACCTCTGTTTCCTGTTGTGGTATAAAATTTTCATCTCAAAGGCTTTGGCTCTCTCAGCCACTTTGTAGCCAATGGCGCCCATTCCAACGATGCCTAGAGTAGCTCCAGAAACCTCAGCACCCAGCCAGTTGGCAGGGAAATATTCAGTGTCAGGGGATATTGCCATTTGATAGCCTTGGAAGGAAAAAAAGAAAAAGTCACATCAAGAATTAAACAATTCCTGGCATCTGGTTACTTTCTGTCATAGAACAACACAGAAGGAACAGTAAAAAGCTGTTATATTTCTGGACGAGATCTGAATAGTGATGCACTAGCAACCCAATTTCTTACACTGATTTCTTTCTTAGGATATAAGCATACCCAGACCCTCTTTGGAAGAGGAGACAAGGGCAAAGAAGCAACCTCAGCAGAGCTGCTCATTGTCTTTTTCTGTCTGCAGTGCCAATGAATTATTGCCCCACTAAAATGCAACTCTGCAACACAGCTTCCTACTCCTGGGATTCACCAGCAGGACTAATGTGACAGTGCTACAGATGGCACCTGTGCTGTGTTTGCTGAATGGTGCATCTGATGTAACACAGGTTAGGTTGTAGCATCATCAAGACTTTCAGTAAGGCCAAAGTGTGTTTCCCTGCCTTCTTGCAGGTAGAACACAACTGGCAGAGAACAGAAACACAGGAAAGGATGGACAGGATTTCTTAACAGTTGATGAAAAAAGTCTTAACACTTTGTTCACAACAACTCGAATTTATGCCAGCTAGGCAAAGACAGGCTTTAGGGCTCCTTGCCAACATCTCTTTACTAGAACTTGAAAAGCAAGACTGCACTGGACAAGCAGAATGAGTGGCTACAAGATGAAGAAGAACCCTCAAGACTTTAGGGCTATCTGGAAAAAGAAGTGTACCTACCTTACTAATACATCTGGTGGGAAACTGAATGCACTACACGCAAGTTACTACTACCAGCATGACAGAGTTATCCTTTCCCTCATCACTGTTTTTCTTCCAGTATTTCTGCTCCTAAAACCACCTTTGCATCAGCACGCGCTTTCTAATTGTGTGAAGAGCCAGCTTTGAAAAGTCAGAAAACCTTTCAGTTATTACCTTCCACAAGTCTCCTGGAAGATGCCAGCATCAAAGCCATCCCCAAGTCTGCAGTGTCAGTGGAAACAATCGATGGAGTGTTAGACACTTTCACACCATAGCTGGAGAGGAGATTCAGATCCAGGTGATCTATTCCCGCTCCAGAGCTTGCAACTATCTTCAGGTTAGGCAAGCTCTGCAGCAGCTCCTCATTAATAACCGGTTTGTGATACCACATATAAATAGCTCTGATCTTTTTGCCAAGAAAGCTCTTGTTTTCAAGATATTCTTTCATGGTGATGAGACAGAAACGTTCCTTTAGAAATTCAGCATGGTCTTCGTATACCCCATGCTTCCCTCCGATGCAGTCAATTAGCACACAAGGCAGCTCCTGACCCTCCATGTCCTGCAAAAGCAATGAGAAACCAAAATGACATCTCCCGCTGCAAGTTTTTTGAAAACAGGAACTGATCGGCTCAGTTGCATGCTCTTTTCTCACTTGAGGATCGATCTGGTCAAAGATGTTTGCTCTCGTGAGTGGAACACGCGAGTTCACCAACCCGTCTTCAGAAGGATGCGACTGTGATTCGCAAGCACAGTCCTCGCACCAGAGCTACAGAAAAGTTCAGCGTCACACGCCGCCAACAGCAGCTAGCAAGCCTGCTTTGCTGGCTAACAACAAGCAGCAATGCCCGCCCCAGGACCGCCGCAAAGCAGTACCGCCCTCTCGCCCCGGCTGCTCGAAACAAGCACGCACCTTCCCCGCAACGCAACGTCCCGTCCCCAACGGATCCCCCGCCACCGCAGCACGGCTCGGCAGACCCAGGGCGGGCTGGGACACGCCAAAAGTCCTCTCAGAAGGCGCTTGCGGACGGGACCGCAGACGGGAGCACGCCTGAGAGACAGCCCGCCTCCGCCCGGCGGGAGCGAGCCGCCCGGCTCTCGGTGCGGGCGCACGAGCTGACGGAGCCGGGCCACCTGTGCGCCGCTCGCCGACACGGGCCGGCAGCACGGGCTGGGAGGGGAGGAAGCGAGGGGGGAGGAGGGGCGGGAGAAAGAGCAGAGGGGGGAGGAGCCGCTCCTGGAAAAGGTGCGGGCGGCCGCGGCTGCGTCTTGGCGTGGGGGGGAGCGGGGCTTGTCTGCGTGGCTTCGTGGGAAAAGGGATAACGTGGGTTAACGAGTCGATTTAGCTGGGTACGTATGGTAAGGTGTGAGCTGATTCTGTGCACTGAGACCTTCAGAGCAGCTCGGATTTTGGAACCTGATGATCCCTGAGGTCCCTTCTGTGATTCTGAGGCGGTTCCTCTTGCTGTGTAGGTGGTGAGCGGAACACTCCGGGAAGGCTCTGACCTGTGCGGTAGAAGCAGCCGAGGGCCAGAAAACCCCGCCTGAGACCAGGGACCTCTTTTCCTTCCGAGCCGAGAAGGGACCAGCACTTGTGAACTACTGCACTGTCCTGAGCTCTGCAGCACTTTGCAGTTGCACAATTGCATACAGGTCTGTCTCCTGAGTTCTACCAAACACATTTTGGTATGCTGAACATTCAGGCCATCAAGTTCAACATGAGATCCTCTCTAAAATAACTAAGAAAAAATGAAGTGTAATAGACAGTCGTAATGCAAAGTGATACATAACCATAATTTTTTATGCTGTCGGTGACTTTTGGGTATCATTTATTGACGTGAGTTTCAAATTCTCAAGGTTAGGCTTTAAACCAAAAAGCCATGAGCTAGCTAGACAGAGTTAAAGCAGTAACTGGATTCCTGGTACGAGTTCAGTTTTTGACCTTTCTTTAAGAGAAAGCAATAAACATTTAGTGCTTACACGTTTCGTGTTTCACATCAGCCTCACGTGAGTTTGCTGATAAGACGTAATGGGTGATCTTTTAACTTACTGCTTATGTAACAGTGCCTGAGATTAAAGGGTTGATGTGAAGTAGAAGACGAGACATTCTACAACTAATTTTCTACCGACTTTTAGTACTGAAGGTCAACAAATCCAGCAACAAACAAAAACCTTTCCAAGATCAGTGCAATAGTTATCCCACCTGTGCGTCAAATCAATAAATTTGGATTAACAGAAGATACCTTTAGACAAAGAATAGGCGATCAAATATTCAAAGCACTGTTCTTCTTGGTAAGAATCGAGGACACATACATCAATTATCAAGAAAATGAGCTTGGTTATGTGGCTACGTGGGGAGAGAATCAGACAGATTCCAAGTTGCTTTGTGTCACTTCAGCAAATTTTCAAATTTGTTTAGGAGCTGGTATTAAACAGAGCAAAATATGTGACAGAAGGGGTCAGGAAGCCACTCACACTCTGAATGCCTGAAGAGCTGTTTGAACTGCCAGAATGTCACAAATAGCTTTGCATGGGCAGCGGGCAAACAGCAGCTTGAGATATGTGCATGTTGTTGCAGGTGGGTGCTGCACGAGTCCACTGCAATATTTTAGGTACCTTGCATTGGAAAAGGAAGTATTGCTACATGCTAATATTTTATTATTGCTGAGGGAGATCTATTATACTGGCATTGTGACAAAGCTCTCTGAAATTCGTAGTTTCTGTGACTACAAAGAAAGAAGTATTGCACAACTTAACTGCCAGTTTCATTGTTACATATTGCCATTGGTGTCTGTGTACTACTGCAGGACTGGCCGACGTCTGCAGTGTCGACAAGGTGCTTGCATAATGATTGTTTCTTAAGGTAAGGTTTTGAAGTATTGCATCAACCTAAGTGCACAACTTGTGCACAACGTAATCCATTTCCTAGCTGGGATGTTTAATCTGGTTTAAGCATGAAATTGGATGGAGGTATATGATCCTTCTGTGTTGAAAGTAGTGTTATATGTGAGCAGGATGCATAGGGAAAAATAAATACATTAAACACACACACACACACAACAACCAAACACAACCAGGAGGTCTGTATTCTCATGGTTTTGCTTTTCAGGCAAGGCCAACCCAAGGAAGCAACTACCTCTCACTCACAGATTATGCCACAAGAACATTTGATGCATTTGATGTGCATTTGATTGGAAGCCATCATGAAGCACCACCACTAACCTGCCTGCTTGCTTCAGGTAAGGCCTGCATCTCATTAGACTGTTGTAGCAGCAGTCTGTGCTATGTCATACAGTGTGCCTGTCCAAACAGACCTGCACTAACAGAACAAATACCACATTTTGCATTACAGTGTCTGCTGCAGTTTTTTATTCTTCTTTTAGAGATTCTAAAACTGAACGTATTATGTCTTCCAAGTACAATCTAAGTAGAATAAGAGGAGGGAAACAGCATGGAAAGATGACCTTAACTGTATGTAAGTTGATTTGATGCTATTCAATACGTATTTAGATCGAGGAAAGGTAGGAAATGGAGGAATATTTCTTGTGTAATTTGAAGATAAGAGGCACTTGCTTCCTGAAGACACTGTTAGGAAGCTGTACTTCAGGTCATGACTCCAGTTTGTAAGGCGATGTCAAGTAGTTAGGTGTTGTATTGGGATCAAACCCATCCTTCCAAGCTGACAGCTGCCCAGCACTCCGTCTGAAGCGCTGCACTGGCAAGGAGCACTTCTCCAGAAGATCAGCTCAGACTCCTAAATATCTGCAGCAGTGGAAGTAAAAGCAGGCAAATGACAAGTGCATTCTGTTCTTTTGGGTGCTCGTGAAATGATGTTCTGTTTGCTGCTTCTGTTTCAATCTGGAGAAGTTTGTAGGTGCAAACTCTTTTCTCTAGTTTGTGGATATTAATCTAATACATGGTATTTTTTTTCATCTGTTACTGTAGATACCAGTGGCTTTGTTTTCAGCTTTGCAATTTGTCACCTTAGCCTTTTATTATGAAAGGATAGACTTACATTTGTCAGGATAATGCTGGTGAGATCAAACACATAGTGGGTGCCTGTACCTCAGGGAACAGGAGGTCTTTTGTAGAAGGAACATGGGACAGTCCTAAAATTCTTGTCAGCAAAATTGCTGCTCCTTAAAAGCTACAGTAATTTGTTTCCCCGAGCCACTAGAGTTGTTATACACAGGTTCCAAAACCTAGGTATGCTAACATTCACTGTTTGGTCTCCATAAACATTAAACAAGCATCGATGACTGCCATTTTTTCTGCGTGGAGGAATTCAGTTCCTCACCTTTGCTTCACTTCCGTGTCAGACATCATTTTGTCAGACTGCACCTCTGCTGCCATCCGTCATGTGGCAACAAAATATTATGGAATGTTGGCAGGAAGGTTCAGCCTCTACTCCCATCCCACCAACATCTGCCTCTGACATGGTGGGCCAACCTAATAAAATAGTAATAAAAGCCTAATGAAATAGTGACAAGCTGCTCTAAGAAACAGGAGGTGGAAATGACTCTGTAAAGATTTATAAAGGTTTATGAGACTGCAGACAGAATCCGAGCTGTGCCTATGGGCAATTTTGCTATGAATGGTACTGATGAATAATCACACTGATCACAAAACCATACTACATGATAGTATGGCATACTACATGGCAGTGCCACTTGGAGCTGTGCACTGGAAGTTTGTATTTTAAGACAACAGAGTGTACGTAAGTTTTAGTGAGGTGGATGAACATTCTTCTGTTCAGAGAGAGAGTTTTCCTGTGGAAATTGAAATAATTGATTGCATTAGAGATGCTGTTTCTAGTGTGGTAAAGCCATGGTTTCTTACTATGATAATTGCAGCCTTAAAAACAGTTTGTCAAGTTGCTGTTTCTAATCTTTGTAGTACTGGTGCTCACTGTTGTACCTCGCTTCAAATACAGATATTCCTGCAGAAGGAAATCCTACTGACTTGGGCTTCAATGGTGTTTGCTTTTTCACAACCATTTTTCGTGTTCCTTCTGAGTTACAGAGCAGTGCTGAGTCTGACAAGCATTCTTCCAAATATTTTGTGCTAACTTGAATATATTCAAGGTAGACTTCGAGTAAGTTTGGTATTCCAAACATGGCAGCACGTCCATCTTGGAGACTATTTTTCATTAGTGCTGTTGTTTGCAACTACAAACTGTCAGCTCAGATCTTCTGCTTTGAGTAAATGATACTGAGCATGTTTCTGAGCACTGATTTTTGTCTCAGCATTTCAGGTCTCAGGTGCTACTTTAAAAGGAGACTTCCATATAGAAGGTCACTAGTATTTCTAGCAGGCAGCTTGCACTGTTTGCTTTGATATCTAATATGAATGAGGGGAGCTATGTAATCTAAGCAGATATGTTCTTTAGGACTCCTATACGTTTTTTAAAGTACTGATGTAAAATTGCTATTTTCCCCTTTGTATTACCTCTTTCCTTTTGTCAGACATACTATTTCCAAAGTTTTCTAAGAATAATACAGAATGCTGAGACATTTTCTCTTGTCTCATGACTATCTGGTAGCACCCTTAAAACGATTGGTAGATAGAAAGGATCTGTCACCCAGGAAAGCTCACTGTTGAACATGTTGTTAATAAAATATAACTACATAAAAATAAAAATAACTCTAAAGTGATCTGTTGCAACTTGTGAAGTCCTGTTTCTCTCACAGTAAGCAAATTAAAACATCATTTCTAGGGAGCCTTTCCAAAGCTGCAAATAAGTAGGCAATCAGAAGTTATTTCTCCCAGAGCCTTTTAAAGCCTGCGTGCATTTATCCATAGCTGAAAGTGAGGAGCAGGTTGTTCCTCCACAAGGGAATTAAAACTGTGAAGGCCTCATTACATGTGAGACTCGGCCAGAGCTCTGCCTGCCCATTCTGAACAGGTGTCTCTTAATGGGGAAAAAAAAAAGAAAAGAAAAAAGAAAAAAAAAAGAATAAAAGCATTTAGAGCTGATTGGGAAAAGAAGAAAGATATTTGGAGCTCCTTTTGCTCTTCAGCTAGGGAGCACTTCACTAGGCACGGGAAGACCAGTAAGAGCTGCTAGTATGTTTTCAACTGCTTCCTCTGTTATCATGCGGGTGGCCTTGTCTGTTTTAATGCCAAGGTGAGGTGTTATAATTACATTCTTCAATTTTAGTAATGGATGATCTCTGGAAGAGGAAAAAAGAGAAAGTTAAAACATAACTGTCATTTATCCAAATGAAGAGTCTTGTTTAGGCTTTCACACTGTATTTAACTATAAAGATAATATAACTTTACAATCCCACTGATGTCTGTAGACTTTAATCACCTGTGTTCAGATCATTCTGGGTGTTAAAAGGATGTGTTAAGTATTTACACTGTGCTCTTTTGCCCAAGGCCAGAAACACATTTTTGCCACGAGCAGCAATTTGCACTACATCAGAGCAGAGGATTGAGCACTCTCAGCATATTAACGCTACACAATGCTCTGAGCTGTAGTTATGCAACTCAGGAAATGGGCAGTAATGTCCTGGGCCCCAAACCCCAAAAAGCCAGCCACTTCAGTTGTCTCCCCAAGGAATCATTCTGGCAAATGTGCCTGTAGCCTCTGGGCCCAGGAGGTGTGCAGTACTTCAGCTCTGTACTGGAGAAACAAGCCTGTGCAGAGGGAAAATTTGGGACAGTACAGCATGTCTAAGGAGGGCTGATTCAACCAGCTTCCGCACATTCAATATGTTGCACCTTTAGATAAAACAGGGAGTGAAGCACACGTGTATCTTCAGATGGTGATTCTGTGGTCTAATACTCCCCCAATGCACAAGCTCCCCCGTGCTGTTTCCTGCTACCCCCGCTTCCCTTCAGCCTGTTATCACTTCCAACATCTGGGCCGCATCCCTTATTCACAGCAATTTCACACAAATGTGCAGCCCAGGAGCAGAAGGAGATGCATCTCCGTGACCCCTGCCTGCCAGCCTCATGCAGTGTTTCTGAGGAATAAGGAGAAATGAGATGGAGACCTGGGCAGCGGCTCCGGGTCGGTGACATCCAAAGCTGCAGCCCTGATAGCACCAGTGCACAGAGCTCCCACCAGTGCCTCTTGGTCCACCACTGCACCTGGGTTGGAATAACAGCAACGCTGAGCACTATTTGCAGGTAATGGTCTCAGACAGGAAAGAGGGTGGAAAGGGGGAGTGAGGAATTTTTGCCACGCCTGCTCATTTTCAGCACGTGCACAGCTCCACAGAACGAGCTGGCCTGTATTTGGTAGTCAGGCCAGCAAATACTACACATTTTCCAAATGCTACCTTGGCTGATGTTAACAAGAGTAGCTGTGGATTTCATCAGTTCCATCTCTCTTTTCCCAATCAGCTTGTGTGTCTGAGGTGTCAGGCTCACCACCACCATCACAAAATCTGCCTGGCAGAGCAAATCATCCATCTTCTCACAGTAAGTGGCACCAACAGCTTGCTCTTCCTGCTCTTTCCTGATGGGGAAACAAAGGATCACACAGCATTTCAGAGCATCGGTCATGCAAATATTGTCTACCACGATGCCACTGATGTACAAACGCAGGTCTGCCATTAATGCAGCCAACAGGTGGCAGAGTAGCATGTGTTTAACGCCTCTGGAAGGCAGCAAGCCCTGCCTGCCTCTCAGCGTCTGCAGCGCAGGTTTGCTGACTTACTTTAAAGTCTGCAAGTGGACTGAAGCTAAGCACAGGAGTAGACACGGCCCATTCTGCAGGATCTCTGTGGGAAAGGTGCACCTCACAGAATACAACAGTCACTCAAATTGGAGTATTCAGATTTGCCAGAATTCATCCCTGGGACCTCTGAGAATGCTCATCCCATTGATAGTATCCAGCAAACTCATCATTTGCAATGAATGGAATCAGCAAGGCAGTTCTTTGGTAATTTAGGACGGTTCCTGGCCACTCCAGGACTTTCTAAGTGTGGGTTCTTGGGACTCTCTAAGTAATAAAGCATGTAGCTACACCAAAAGATAACAAATTAAAGTGAGATTTCTAGTTTGAATTTTTCACAGTAAAACAGGATAGCTGTCATTTCTGTTTTCTTGCCTGGATTCTGGGAACTAAAGAAGCAAACATAGGAGAATATGTTTGAAATGTTTTGCTCTTGGTTGCAAGAGAATGAGTTGGAATTATCTCTACACTAAAAATAAAGAAAGAAATCACACTAGGCAGATAAGCTCAGTGGCACTTTGGACCAAGTGTCTCTAACGCATGCATTTTGTTGGCTTTGTTCAGTGTTGAGGTCGACAGACAGTGATTGAGTAAGGAACAGGCTGGAATTACAGCCAGTAATGCAGAGCGCGTCTTGCTTCAGCACACAAGGCAGAAATGTAAATGGACTTTAAAACAACCCATTTTTTTCACTTCTGTTGCCATGTGCCTTGCTATTTCACAATGGCACTCTCAGATATACATTGAAGACTAAGAAGTACGAAACTGAGGGAGACAGTGAAGACCAGCAAATAAATACATAAGTAAATAAATAAAAATTGTGCTTTATTTTCTTTTCTCTGTGGTTTATGAAGGAAGTCTGAAGGACTTCTTTCTAAATCCTGCAGAAGGAGGGATTGGTCTAGTATTTTTTGAACATTTCTCTCTGTATTCCTGACATAATTACATAATTTCTTGGAAAGGAAATACTGACTATATGAAAGGCAGTTTCTGCTGCAATTCAGGTCTTTACCTCCGTGTTCTGTTGTGGTACAAAATCTTCATCTCGAATGCTCTGGCTCTCAGAGCAATCTTATACCCAATGCTGCCCATGCCAACGATCCCCAGAGTAGCTCCAGTAACTTCAACTCCAAGAAAATCAGCTTCACAATACTCCACAGCCGGGGAAACGGCGACGTGATAGCCTGCAAAAATAAATATCCAGGATGATGAGTGAATGAGGTCCAGCACAGGTGAACGCGGCCAAAGAATCCACGCTCAAAGTGCGGCTGCAGTGCGTTTCACAAGTGCAAACACACAGCTCTAAACAGCAGCCTTTTCTGCAGTATCCTGGGCGATTTCCTAACACAACATATTTCCCTGCCATGAGTGACATTTCCCATTTGCTCTTACCGTCCCATAAAAAGCATTTTAATAAATCTCCCTAAAAATCATTATAACAAATGAGACTCGTAAGAATACTGATCTCCTCTTCATCAGTAATCAAAACCATTACTGCCAGGGACACTGTAGGGGTTGGAAAAACCACATTTAGAATACCACTAGATGTTGGTGTTGCTATTTAGAATAAAGATAGGTTTCCTGTTCATCTCTGCCACTCTTCTTTGAAAAGGAAGCATGACTTCTTTAAAAATCACTGCTCAATTGTTTAATTGCTTATCTGTTAAACCTGCCAAATGTGGGGTAGCCACACAAACAGAAAATAAACTTGTATGCACGGCGAGACAGAGATTATTAGCCGGCTAGCAAGGAGAGAGGCTTCCGATGTTTGTGTCTTCAGATATGGCCAGCTCTTGTTAAACACAAGCAGAATATTGTGAAAGTAACAAAAAATGCCTCAGGTCATGCCAGAGGACAGCTATCAGAAATGGCACCACAGGGTAATTTCTCCTCTTTGAGTTTCTATGACTCCTCTGGTACAGGTAGCAAACCAATGGCAAGGAAATTTTATAGGATAAACCTGAATAATCTTTTCCTGAAGCTGGAGACATTCTAATCAAGACAAGGATAGGTTAATCTGGGGAATCAGCAAGCAAAAAATCGAGAATTTTGGAAGAAACTAGAAGGGGTGCTGCTAACAGACACTGGAGCAACCTGCTTCGATGATTGCTGATGCACCTTAAATTCCTCAGTTCCAGCTTCTAAGACCAAGCTCTGTCCATAAAGCAGTGTTTTATTTGAATATAAGGTGTTGCTCAAGTATTTGCCACCCATGCTGGTGAACTGTGAAAAACAAACTCTTATGATTTTATTTATACCTGATTGAAATAGGAGCATTTCTGTAAGGTGTAGCAATTTGGATATTGAATATATATAGAACATATCAAAGTACAAAATCTTCAATTTTCCAGCCCAACACAGTTAGCTATTCACATTTTGTTGCACTATCTTCAGAAAAGTCAAACTAGTGGCACGTAAGTTGTATCATTTCCAGAAGATACACAAAAAAGGAATCAGAGATTACCTTCTACCAGTCTTCTAGCAGATGCCAGCAGCAAAGCCATCCCAGTATCTGCTGTGCTACTGGAAACAGCACGTGGAGCATTAGCCATTTTCACACCAAAGCCAGCTACAAGTTTCAGATCCAGATGATCCATCCCTACTCCTGAATTTGCAATCACTTTCAAGTTGGGCAGGCTCTGGAGGAGGTCTTTGTCAATGACTGGTTTGTGCCACCACAAATAGATCGCTTGGACCTTTTTTCTCATATTCTTTTTGTTTTCAAGAAATTCCTTCATAGTGATGAGGCAGAAGTGCTTCTTCAGAAACTCCATGTGGTCATGCAGTATCCCATGCATTCCTCCGATTTCATTCCCCAGAAGCCCAGGCAGCTCTTCTCCCTCCATCATCTGCACAAAGAAGAAAGAGAGGCAGCATCAAAAGAAATACAAATATTTTTTTCCAAATATTTTAAAGAATCATCACTTTCATGCTCTTGTTCATGACAACTATGACAAGAGAGCTAATGAACTGTATATTTAGGCAGAGGGGCAAACAATTTAGGACAAGAAAGCAGCTCTTTTAAGTACATGTCACAAAACACTTCCAAGCAGGTTTTAGTTATACCAAGGATGATATGTCTCTGGTTCTGTGCCAAGACATCTAGCTCCTCTTGCTTGTTCCTCATGCTGTTTACATTGGTGTACAAATATTTCAAATGTGCTTCATTACACTCAGCACATCATGGAGAATGCTCAAGGGTCTCATTAGAATGCACTCTCTAAAATGTTGGTGTGCTGTCCCCTGTCTTACACCTGGTCAGATTGGTTTTAGCCAGTTTTCCATTCAAACCTAGCCTAGACCTCTATCGATAAGCTCTGTTAACATGTGTGCAAAAATGTTTGAAGCCCTCTGACAAAGGTGCATCCAACGAGGGTCTGTAGACCATCCTGCAATTGAAAAACACAAAACGTGTTCTGCAGTAGCTGGACTAAGTAAAATATATATAATATAACACTAAATTCAAAAGCATTATTGATATGATTAGAGCGTTAATTTAGCACAACTCTCAAAAATGTATCAGTTTTTATTACTGCATTATCAGTTTGATTTCCATTTAGGGATCTGGAGTACTTCAGATTGCTAACTTTCTGGAGAGTGCAAGCAGCTAAAAACAGAGGTAAAACCTGACAGGTGGTTTGCAGAAAGCAGTTACTCCTTGAGAGCTGTGCAGGTCACTGTAAGGTCTCAGCTATTTGATGTTGTCCTTTTCTTTTTGCCCCACAGCCATGAGGGGTCGGACCCAAACCGTGCCAGAAGCACAGCTGTTCTGAAGTTTTCCCCTTTCCTCTTTCTAGGGGACCTTTGCGAGACGCGCCTCCTTCATCGCGCAGCGCTTCCTCCAAAGAGGTTACCGCCACTGACTGGAATGCGGGGCAGAGACCAGGCAGCCGAGGAGAAAGAGCCTCGCACCAGGTGAGACTCCTGGCCAAAGAAATGCGGGCGGTGCCACGCTCTTGCCTCCGTGGGAGCGAAGTTTCTCCCGGATCCAGAGGCTGTATGGATTCAAGCAGCTCTGCATGACCAACGCCCCGTAGCATCCCTTCTGAGCTGGGTAACTAATGGCAAGTGCTCCTCGCGAGAGCGCAGAGACTTTCTTGCTTCCCTTCAGATGGAAGCCAACCGGGCCTTTCTGTTTGCCGAGCCCGGTGCCCAAAGGGACAGGAAACGTCCCGGGAAGGGATGAGGGTGTTCCTTTCCTAGGAGCGTTTGAGCAGGAGTGAGCGTGTTTGCGGGCTGCTGTCAGCGCCGCAGGCTGTTCCCAGGTCTCCAAGGGAAGTGGTAGAGACCAGCTCAGTCATTTGGGGGCTCTTGCAGACTTGTTTTGCTGAGGAGGCTGCTGAAACACGTTCAAGCACGCAACGCAGACCCAGCACCTCCTGCCCTCCTGTCAACTCTCCCCACCGTGTCTTTACAGGCAGCTACCGGCCATCCCGAGGAGATCCTTGCCAGAAAAGGAAGAGCAAGCGAAAGTAGTTCCTCTGGTGGGTCCCAGGATGGTGGACTTCTTTGCCATAGCGAGGGAGAAGAAGAGAATGGTACGTGGCACAGACTGCTGCAGCACATTTGTCTTAGTGAACTGTAGAAGAGCATCAGTGACTCTCACAGCGCTCTTTGCTGCGCGTTCACGTGACACCTCGCTTGAAGAGAGATCAGTAGTGAGGGCGTTTGGGAATAAGCTGTTCACTGCCGTTAGCCTCCCGAAAGCCACCCCAGGAGCTGATCTGGGGATGTTCCTGACTGCTTGTCTAGAACTGCCAGCTGCCAGACTGCCTTTAGGCCTTTAGTGGTTGTTTATTTTCCTGGCTGTTGCAGAAGGGCTCTTCAGTGGAGTCTGCAGGAGCCTGGCAGCAGACCAGAAAGGCGGGAGGTAGAGGGTGAAATGGAGTCAGGAGGGGAGTCCTCAGCCTCCACAGAGACTAACGTTGCCTGCTGTTGCATTTAGGCCGACCTCGAAGCAAAGGCTCTAGAGAGCGAGAAAGGAAAGGTGGTGAAGGGGCAGAATGTGAGGAAGGAGGAGGAGAAGGGGAAGAACGTGAGGAAGGAGAGGGAGGCGAAAAAAGTGAAGGAGGTGAAGCCGGTGAAGCCAGTGAAGCCGGTGAAGCCGGTGAAGGAGGTGAAGCCGGTGAAGCAGGTGAAGCCGGTGAAGCTGGTGAAGGAGGTGAAGCCAGTGAAGCCCGTGAAGGAGGTGAAGCAGGAGAAGAAGGTGCAGGAGAAGAAATTTCCAAAAGTGACGCAGAAAAAGCAGCAGCAAAAGTTGCAAGGGAAGAAAGCAGAAAAAGGCAAGCAGCGAAAGTCGCAAGAGAAGGACACAGAAGCTGAGCCGGAAGAAGTGAAGCTGCCAGCGGCCCAGGTACTTTGCATCCCTGCAAGAAAGCAGCAGCACTTTCCCATCCAGGGGAGCTGAGACTGCATGGTGCCTCTGGCACGCGGGCCAGAGCAGTAGTGTTGGTGCAGCAGCGCTGGGTGGGGGACTGCTGCCTTTTGTGAGCAAGAGGACCCAACAGGGCACTGTAACAAAGCCCTGGTCACGCTGAGACATGGCCTCAAGAGCGTGCTGAGGTCCCTCTCCTGATTCTTTTCCTGCCCCACTGCAGTCCCCACTGGAATGGTCTTGCGGGGAGCTGCATGCTGGGAAGCAGCACCACAGCGCTGAGTGTCTTTTCCTATGCAGGAAACCTCTGTCACCGAGGAAGAATACTCAATCTCTCTGTCTGGGAGCGAGACAGAGCGTTCCAGCTCCACCCCCAGCCTGAGGGAGAGGATGATGGGGAAGCAGGAAGAGGCCGAGGAAGAGCCGCGCGCAGTCTTCTGGGACAGCGCTGCTTTGCCTAAACGGTAAGCGTGCACCAACTGCACCCGAGGCCAGGGGCAGGGGGGTGGTGAGTCACCTGTGCTGTGCATCAGGGAAGCCAGCTTTTGAGTCGTGGTGCCGCACGCAGCGCCCTGAGAGCTCTGAGGCCGTGGATACGGTCGTGGTTAGGGCCCGATGCCACGAGCCTCTCTGGAGCCCAAGCAGCCCACGCGTGGCAGTCGTCCTGCGTCAGAGTGGCTGTGGGGCCAAGTGGGGCCACGCGTGGAACAGACTGGGTGAAGAAAGAGGCAGGGGCGTCACGGCTGAAGAGTGAGACGGATTTTGTGCTCGCTGTTGCAGGAAGCTTTCTTCAAGGACAGATGAGGCCCTGCGGGAGGTGGTGAAGCTCATTGTGGGGCAGGTGTCCCGTGAGCAGCAGGGCCGGAGAGACGCAGAGAAGGTTCTGCAGGACCGGCTCCAGAGGTAAAGCTCTCCAGACAGGCAGCTTGCTCTCCCACACTGCCCTTCTCCCACCCCCTGCAGCACCAGGGCAAAAGAGGGGCCTTTCCTGGACGCGGGCTCTCGGCACGGCCACCTGCAGCAGTGGTGGCAGGCACCAAGCTTGGGAGCCCCAGCCAGAGGCCGGTCTCCCTGTGCTCACACTCCCTCCCACTCTGTGCCTACAGTGAGCTTGCAGTGCTGTGGTGGAGTCGGCCATCCACACACGCACCTGGCCTCCTCCATCTGCCAGGAGCGGAGCACAGACCTGCACCCCCTGCTGGACCAAAGCCAGAGAAGGCGTCACGCAGAGTGGTAAGTGGGCTCCCGTAAGCAGCGTGTCACAGCTAGCCGTAGCAAGCCAAGGGAAGACCCTCTTGGGCCTGTGGGATGGAGAGCGGCTGGCGGTGGAGCTGGAGACCTCCGCACAGACACGCAGCCAGCGGGCGCTGGGGACGAAGGTTCCCAGTGCAGCTCAGGCAGCTGCAGGCGGAAGGGTCTGAGGTGTCGGCCAGTGTCTGGCGGCCCTCCGTTCTCCAACCGGAGTCCCTCCCTCTCCTCCCAGAACACAGAGCCCCGAGCACCTTGCTCTCACAGCCTGTATCTGCCCGGGCCGAAGTCTCAGCCACCGCCTGACTCGGTGCCTGGTCAGCCAGCCCCACAGCAGGCTACCCCAGATCGGGACTGGCCACAAGGGCTGCAGTTACATCACAGGGACCAGGAGCCTGCTCTCTCTAGACCTGCATTAGCAGAACCACTCTCTCGTACTGCAGAGAGACTTGCAGCGTTGCGCTGCGTGTCTCTGCGCTCACAAAACTACTGAGCTTTACACTGAACTCCTCAGGTCCGGAGAGTCGTGGTCAGGCACGTCGACGAGGACCACGAGAGATCCAGCAGCAGTGAGATTCTGGAGCCAGACATCCACTAAGTGTCACCCAACAGCTCAACGAGGACCACCTTTCACTGTTGGCGACGCTCACGGTGACACTGTTAAAGGCGTCGCCACTTTCCATATTACCCTTTCCCTATACCCAATAAACCCCAACCCCATCCCCAAACACCGTGGGTCTTTCCTTGGTCGCCGTGAAACGCGCGCTTTACAGAGGGGGCCTTGTAAAGCCAGGTGCTCCCCTCCCCAGGGTTCCCGGGCCTGCATTGGCAGGGCTACCCGGAGCTGCACGGGCACCACAGTGTGCTGCGAGGGTGCTGAAATCCAAGGCAGAAACCTTGCGTGAGGAGATGAGGAGGAAAGCCCGGTCCTCCTCCCTCCGAGCTCCATCTCGGAGTGGGAGCTGGGAGCTGGGAGCCTTCTCTGGTGTCACCAGTGTGGCTGTGCAATCTGCACGCTGACAGCTTTGCCCCCGGCTACTTTGGCTGGCTTGAGGGCGGCCCCTTCCACATCCAGCCCCTTGCCATTGCTGGCAGATCCACGGCTGAAGCCAGGAATGCCTGTGCTCAAAAGGTGCCGTGCTCAGCCAGTGGGGCTTTCTGAGCCCAGGCTTAACGGCTCAACAGCTCTAAGTCAGTTCTGAGACAGCATCCTGTCAATCCTCTTTGGGCTGCTGTTTCCCGTCTTGCGTGTGTTTTCCAGTAACTCAGACAAAAATCTCATCTTCCTCCCGCTACGGACGTATTTTAAAACACACTTTTTGATACCTGTCTCCCACAGTACGGGCCCCCTTCAACTCCAGGTGAGCTTTGCCCACGTGAATATTTCTCCTACAGAGGCGAACAGCGTGTCTGTAGTTCACTGCTGTCAGCTGACCTTACTTCCATTTGCTAGACACTGATTTTCCACCCCAGCTCTAGAAGATCAAGCCAAACCCATCCCGTGCCCCGCTTCCATGACTTCTGACATATGGCATTTGCCAGTTGCCCCGCTCTTCATGAAGAGATGGTGCTTGAAAAGGGTCCAGCGCTCATTAATGGAACCCTACCAAATAATTGAGCGAATGATGAAGGCATCAAAGTGTTCAAACAGAACCGTTTTATCTGTTCCACTTCGCTGTTTTGATTTTGTAAATGCCAGTACAGAGTAAGCTGAGCGAGTTGACAGCTTTGCAGCAGAGTGACCAAAAGAGCTGTGAAGGAACACGGCTGCTTTTTTTTCCTGCTCAAAACTAATAGTGGTTCTGTATGAAATGGAGCCTTCTCGTAGGCCAGAGATTTAGCGCTGCCGTTTGGTGCGCATCATTGGGGAAACACTTCACTTGGAACGGGTTGACAGTTGAGAACGGACAGCATGTTTGCTATTGCTTCTTCTGTCATCATGTGGGTGGCTTGAACTGTTGCAGTTCCAATATGTGGGGTTATGATGGCGTTATTTAATTTCAACAAAGGATGATTTCTGCAAGAAACAGCAAGGACAGCGTATTACACCCGCAAGAAGCAGAAAGAACAGCATGGATATCACACGTTCAGTTAATTCTTCTGCTAGTTGCTGAGATCAGAAGCTCAGGAAACAGCAAAGGCATTGATACGAAGGGGCCATGTACACAGGATTGGCAGAAAACGTTGGTAAATTTGCTTACCCATTTCTCCATCCTCTCTACTGGCCTTGGTGCCTTGCTTGGCACTCATGTTGTCTTGACAATGTGGAAGGCAGAATAGTTGGTCATCAGCTTAGGATTGTACAAGATAAAATGTGGATATGCCCTTAAACAACTCCCCGCAGAGATCAAGGTCATGAGTACACGTTTGCTCAGCATTTTACAAGTTCAAGAGTAATAGAATGAATGCAAGTTATTCTACCTTGGCAGAGGCTCAGGGTATGTCACATCCAGAGCAGCAGCCTTAATAGTCTTATTCTGGAGAGCTTCCACCAGTGCGTCTTGATCAATAACTGCACCTGCATTGAAATGGTATCTTTCTTCCAAAACAAGGCAGTGAACACGTTTTCACTGGGAGTGGGGAAATGTGTCAGGGCCCCAGGGGAAATAAACTGAAGGATCTACATCTTGTTAGAAAGTAGAATGTCTTTCTAGTAACCATCAATCAAACAAAAGAAAGAGAGACTTTATTAGCCTTCACCACGGAGCCAGAACCACTTCTGGGAGAAATGCCTACCTCGGCTGATGTTTATAAGAGTGGCTGTGGGTTTCATCAGCCCCAGCTCCTTTTTCCCAATCAGTTTTTCAGTCTCAGGTGTCAGGTTCACAACCAGCATAACAAAGTCAGATTGCTGCAGCAAATCTTCCATCTGACTGTAGCAGGCACCAACAGCCTGCTCTTCCTCCTTGCTCCTGAATGGAAAATGCACACCTAGTTTGACACGACTCTTCTGAACTGTTTTTAACAGTCAACAAATCAGTCAGTTGATCCTAAGCATCGTCTCAATCAGCATAGATATTAAGAGGTTTGAAGCCAGGATAAAGGAAGAGACATTGCTATGTAACCAGGGAATTATAGAATCATAGAAAGGCCTGGGTTGAAAATGACCACAATGATCATCCAGTTTCAACCACCCTGAGTCCCAAGAGTCTCTGTCCAACCCCCAGGCAGGTTGCCCAGAGCCACATCCAGCCTGATCTTGAATGCCTCCAGGGATGGGGCATCCACAACCTGTTCCAGTGTGTCACCACCCTCTGTGTGAGTCAAAATGGCAGAAGGGAGGAGAGAAGGTAGTGGTTTAAAGAGGCCAAGAGAGCAGAGGAGTGGCAGGACCCTGGAGGATTGACATAAATGTGAAAGCAAACCACACAGGTGGTGTTAGGTATAGGAGGATGGGTATGCAGAAGGTCTCTCATTATTCTCTCCTGCTGATGTATCTGTACAGCGCCACCACCTCTCTCTGCCTGACTTGCCAGTTAGAACTTACAATGGAAAAGGAAAGAAGGGGAAGCAAAGAAAGGGAAAGATAAAACCAAGTGAGGATCTTTGCCATCGAGGTGATGAGTGAACCGGCTGGGCTGAAGGAAGGAGTGACAGCCTGGATGACTAGGGACCTTGCCGGAAGCCTGAGAGAAGACTGGCAGGACAAAGTCTGGCTTGCTTGGCTTACATCTTCAGAAAAGTTAGCGTCACCCTTCCTTTAAACCTGCCAATAGCTGAGAAGGGAGGAATGAAGATGGGGAGGTGAATGGGAGCTGCTTCCCAAGGGAAGAAGCTGGGAACCAAGGAGAGCAGTGGCGGTGATCCTTGTGTTGCTTAAAACTGTTGCCAGCACCTAGGAAGAATGGGGACCCAGGCCAGAGCTGTGGTTTCCATTTCTGCCCCTGGACTGGATCCACACAGTAAACAAACGTTTTTACCTGCGGTTCCTGTTGTGGTACAGGATCTTCATTTCAAAGGCTCTGGCTCTCTGAGCCACTTTATACCCGATTCTGCCCATCCCAATGATCCCAAGAGTCGCCCTGGTAACTTCAACTCCCAGCCAGTCAGCAGCAAAATAGTTTGTGTCTGGAGAAACTGCTATCTGGAAGCCTGAATGGAAAAACATGCTAAACAGGTATGAACTGATGACAAATTCTGGTCAAAACAGAGAGGAAAAGTTTCTCACTGTCGTAGTTGGTTTCTGGAATGCCCATTACAGAACATCCTCAATAATTTTAAGGTGGTGGGGGTGGCTGTTTTTAGAAAGTCCTGGATAGTGTAACAGTCAGGACTGGAAGCAGTGACACAGAAGAGATTCTTGATGGTGGTATTCTGCTGAGAGGGATTACTACCTTAGGGAAATAATGCTTCTATGTCTGCAGCATTTTCTTTGAAATTCAAAAACAGCTTCTGGGGCGTTTACCAACAACAAGCACTGCCTTCACTTTATTTTTTCTGTGCCAGCAGTAAAACTCCCTGTCTATCTCCTATCTCAACCAATCCAGTCATACCACTTGAAGGGGGTGAAGTTATACTGCAGAGTCTAGCTTGGCCAGCAATCCCATTAAACCTTTATAATGTTGGACTTCAACTTAATAAAAGAAAGTCTAACCTCTACTGCTGTACAACCAACATCTGCCTCCAGCACAGTGGGACAGTGTAATAAATTAGGAGGCATTACTTTTGGAGCAGCACTCAACATGCTCTCATAATTTCTGCTCCAGCAATGGGGACGTGGCCATCTCTAGATGCTGTGTACCTTTGGACAACTATTAGAAAATACAGAGGAAGGAAACAGAAAAGCAGTGACATTGTATTTGGATGCATTTCACATTCAGTTCTCCAGCCACAAGCAACGCTAAGTGAGCACCCAGACAGAACCACAGTGAGCACCCAGACAGAACCACAGTGAGCACCCAGACAGAACCACAG